AAGCAGACTATGATATAATTTTCACATCTTGAATTTTTATATCATGCGTATTGCATCAATAATACTTATTTCGTTAAAAATAAAGTCGAAAGTCTATACTTTCTATTTCTTGAGATTAGAAGTGTAAAAGAATTCGAAGATAAGAAGAACGATTATTATTTTAAGTTGTTAACTTCAAATCACTCGCTATTCTGTCACACTGTCAAAGGGGTTAATTTACTTACAAGTCAGACATTCCGTCCTTCAATGATTGCGCCGATCATTGACAGCCATTTTTTTGGTACTCGAATTCCCTAGATAATTCCTCTAATATACTAAGATACTTAATCAACGGGATAATGTTCAAAATGTCAGGATCAAAGTCAATATTTTTGGAAGATTTCCAGATTCGATCGAGACTTAGATAGAAATGAATCAAGAATGATTCCAATCATTCGTGACAATCTAAATAAACGATACTAGATAAAATACACACTTGGTATTACACACAATGAGAACGAAGAGAAAGATTTATTTTACCATCGTTGTGTTCATCAAACTACTAAAACAAAGATGCGAGACGTTAATAAAAATGCTTGTAATCTCATCTGGAAAAAGAGACGTGTATCTTTAGATATAAATAAGTATCTAGACTATTTATAAGAAATGTTCACCAAAAAAAAAAAAAAAAGAACGATAATGCATAAAGTTGTAACATTAACTTAAGAAAAAAAGTATCGAGACAATATTCGCTTGTACGTTTAACATAAAATATTGTTAAATAAATGGATAGAGGAGGCAATACACGCCGTGGCGTTATCGTCAACCATATATATCAACACTTTATTAATTACACACGCATCATATACATATATATAGAATTTACATAATGTATATATCTTCCGCAATGCAATGTACATGTATATTAATACAATTTCTTATTCTCGATATAATTTCATTTTTCGTCTCTTGAATATTTTTTCCCCCCTCTTCATTTCTTTTACCTTAAATTCCCCTCCTCTTATATAGATATACTAAATCTCTTAAATTCCTGGTAATCATCAACGTACAATAAACATCTCGAATCGAACCAAATCGCTCGTAGAACTTTCATCCTTCTTGTAATCTGTTCGTTAATATCACGCAACAACATATAATGCGCATTGTATACGTATGTATGTATGTATCGTTTGTTACATGTGCATACATATGTACACGTGTCTGTGTCTGTATACATACGTTTGTTATATAGATGCAACGTCATATCGAATTTTTCGTTTGAATCCTTTTGTTATAGTCTTTCTGCAGCCTGGCTCTACCTTAAAAATTATATGCGTTCTATGTACTTTACACGTGTTTTTGATTGTGTACTCGTCTATACGTTTCACGTGTGTCTCTCAGTTCGATTGAGACTACGTTGATTTCAACGAAGAGTCGTGAAGTTGATGAAACTTGAAAAAATTAGAACTGAACGATGGAATGATGGATGGACAGATCGACGGAGTACATTCTTAAACGTAGATCTTTTTTTACTTGGACGAAGATTAATCCTTTATTATTAACCAAGTGATTTTCTAAAATTTATCCACGATCGATTTTAATGATATTATCAGTAGTACAAACTTATAATAAGGATTAAAATCATCCTGCAGAATAACGAGAAAATTATAAATTCAATGCTATCAAGATTTATGAAAAATATATACTTCAACATATGGAACTGAGAGAGTTTCTAGATCGTAAATCGTCTTTAGTAAATAAACGATTTTACCCAGAAAATTGAGAGACACAAGTAGCGTATCAGAAGCAAGCGTATATCATAATAATAACTTCATCCTCGTTCGGAATGATTTCCCACGAAGTCGCAGTTTAATTCTATTTCATCAACACCCGACGATTCCCCATAAAATCATGCTCGCCAAAAACGTACAAAAAAATCTGTCTTATCAACGCGAACGAATATTAATCCTATCGCATCCACGAAATATAACACATCAGCTACCATCTACAACACTATCCTCGCTCTCGAACGCTTCCCTCTTTCTCGATTAGCTCTAGGACACGTTACTTTGTACTGTTCGCTCTACTGGTTGCTCTTGGTGACGTAAAATCCGTAACATTACGCGGCAACCGTGAACTTTCGTCACGGATTTTCGAAATTTTCGATCGAATGATTCACAGAGAAACTAGCAGAGTAATAACTCTTCAGTTCGAACACATTAAAACATAAAATTAATTTTTAATCAGCGAATACTTGTGAGTTCTATCAGATATTGAATATGGGATTTTGGTGAAACTTGTGCAAGAAAATGTTTTGTATTTGGCGTTGAACAAATTTTGGAAATAGTAATATTACATTAACTAATACAATACTGACATTTCTCTTTTAATATTTTTCTCGATGTTTTCACCTCTGCACTCTACATTGTAACAATGTAAGAACAACAATTGTCAAATTATGAAATTTCTCAGTTAAAATATCACTTTTCAATTCTTCTGTAGATGTTAATGTAGAGTTAAAAAAATTCATAAAACATTTACAAATTAAACTTCGAAAAGATGTTAATACTGTTCATACAAATTGCCCCAAATTTTTATTATAGTTATTACGACAGCTAAACTGCTTTCGAAATTATATTTTAAAATATATTTACGTATAAACCATAATCCTTTGTCTTTCCTTTTTGTGTTACCGCGTTGTTACTGATAATTCTACATCACCGAAATCTTAACCCTACCTAGGACAGTCGACCACGTGGCCTGGCCGGTTTAAACCGGAAGCTAATGCTATTTATTAATTATTTATTATTTAATTATTATTATTATTATTATTATTATTATTATTATTATTCATTACTTTGTAACATAACTTTTTTCCTCATAATAATGAATATTGTTATTGTTGTTGTTAATGACGCGCTAAATCTTCTTTTGTTTAAATTCTTTTGTTTAACCTGTTTTGTTAGATTCGCCTATCTAGCCTAAGGACATTAAAATTCTGTCGAATGCTTATCTATCAGTCACCCTTTACCCCCACAACGAATCCCAAGTATTCTGTTATTTCTCTCTTTCTTCTCGATCGTTTATTTTTTTTTTTTTTTTTTAATATACTTTTTAATCATATTTTCTCAAATCGATAAGAACTGTCCATCAATCGAACGGTCATCCTTCCGTTCCGAACGAAGGATCTTTTTCTGTTTCTTTTTCTTGTTTCTTGATTATGTCACAGATATGGCTAGTTGGAGTGCGTCTCTCGTGTTCCTATCGTAGATTTTCGTTTCTGCGTCTAATCTGAATATATCAGTACGTTGTAACTTCGTTCAGTTACTTAATACAAGTTGCATATCGAGTATAACCTGACTTTAAGAAGGCATTTAATATGAAAATTATAATCACGTGTATAAATACAATAGAACAGACTGAACTTAAAATAGGCGGAGTTGACTTCCCTCGATACGTGAAAATAATGTAATTAATCAACATTAGGGAAAGTATCGTACAATTATTTCAAATCAAGTGGCTTCACTGACTGATACTTGGGATATTTGACAATAAGGAAATACACGAGTGCATATGATATGCAAAATATCCACTTAATATAAATTCCACTTCTTCAATTGTCTTCGCAATAAGAATATTTCAAATGATGTATATAAATAGATAAAATATAATAAAATTTCAACGAAGCGGAAAGATTCTTAACTGAAAGTTCAATTTCTTAAATTCAGGCAACGTCGATTTGAATCTGAACGAAGCATTTGCGCGGTTAGTCTAATGTCTCTTCTCATTGAAAAAAAAACAATGGCAACAGAAACATTTCGTTGAAAAGGAAACGAACGTTTCATCGAAAATAGATGGGTCTCAATGTAAATGATAGATTATGAAAATCTGCAATACTCAATTGGTATTTCGTATCTACTCGTAAAATGGAGGATCAATTAATCGAAAAACTAATTGTAGTGCAAAGTGCCGGGTTGTTTTTTTTTTTTTTT